ATTAGAAATTTTTATATGTTAAATGAATTAATATTTTCAATTCTTAAACTATTAATTTTTTAAATTAATTTTTTTAAGAAATTTTCGATTAAATTATTTATGTTTTTTATTAAAATAAATATTATTTTTTTTAATAGTTATATTAATATTTTATTAATTGATAATTTTAATAGCTAATTTTAATAATATAATATTTTGAAAGAAACATATTTTATTAGAATACATAATTTTGAGAGTTTATTATTATATTATTTAATTTTATTTTAAAAAAGATATATTTATTAAATAATAATAAAAATAAATATAAAATCACAAATTAAAATAAAAAATTTTATATTCTATCTTAATGTTAACTATATATCCATTATATTTTTTAGTTTAAATACTATATTTTATTAAATTTTTAAAATATAATAAAAATTACAATTATTAAAACATTTTATAGCAAAATCATTTAATTAGTTTATTTAAAAATATATTTTTAATACCTTTATTTTATATTTAATAAATATAATAATTCTAAATCTATATTTTTAATTTAATAATTATTTACTTCTTTTTTTTAATTATATAATAAATTTATATGTATTCTATAAATTAATATTAAACGATTCATGTAAATAATAATTAAATATTATTTTTAATATTTATATTTTTTATATTGTAAATTTAATTATTTAAATAAAAATATAATAATTAATTCTTTAATCAATTCATAATTAATATTAATAACATTATATAATTAATTACAAATATAACTAAATATAATTAATTAAATTGAATTTTGTTAAAAATATTATCAAATAATTTTAAAAATTATTAAATGTTTATATTTAATCAAAATAAAAATTAGAAATTTATTTATAAAAAATATAAAATATAAATGTAATTAAATATAAATAAAATTTTCAATTTTTTTTATTTAAATCATCATAATAATAGTCCAAATAAGGTATAAATAATTGCAAAAACTAATACTTCTTTAAAACTATCCTATTATATTCCATTGTCTATATTTATATGTATTATTCCATTATTCATTAATTTACATTATTTTGAAATACTATCTAAGAAAAATCCAGGAAAACATTTTTTGCAAACATTTTCCTTACAATTTAGACAATTACTAAATTTATTAAGACAAAGTAAACATTTTTTACTTTAATAATTATAATAATAAACTGATTTACATTAAATGCATACTCCAACTTTATTACATTATTAACATTCCTAAGGACATTATATTTTATTTTATCCAT